TGTATTAGTGTCAATGTATTAGACTTGATTATGACAATTTTCAATATAATGCTCATTTTTTCTTGACAAACTCAATATCAACTTTGCTTTATTACCTCCCTTCTTATATTTAAAGTTTTCTAGCTTAGATAACCTTTCTCTAACCTCCAAACGCTAATTATTACCGTAATGCAAAAAACTAAAACCAAAAGTTTTTGTACCGGACATATCGATAGTGCCATCTTCAATGATGGTAAATATATTACTTATTTTCGTTTTTTCAAACGATTTCTCTAACCAAAAATTTGCAGCACTCCTTGTTAAATCTATTCCAGATTTCCAGGATGAGTAATGAGCTTGAATGCAGATTTCATATTCTTGGTGCTTAACAATAAGATGCATATAAATTTGTAATGTTTTGTTGCTGCGATCAATTAATTTGAAAGTACCATCAAAATAATAGTAATCATCAATATTGATTTACCTGATTTTTTTGGGAACTGTTGATTCCACATTGGGATGCTGTCTCTTATGGTTTACTAAACAACCGATGAGGAAAATTGCCGTTGTCCTGTAAAAATGCAAATATAGGTCCACTGAAACTCAGCTATTGAAATTAACTTAGCACATTAACAAAACAAATTAACAAAACACAAATTAACTTAGCACTTTTTACAAATAACTCTGGTTATCATTTGGCAATCGCCATTTTTGCAACGTCCCTTATTCCCATGAGGCATAAAGTTTGTTCAGTGATGCAAACCATCTGTTCGAATGGCAAATACTGGGACGGAAGCTACTGGACCACGTGATCTTTTTGTTGTTAATTCCTGTTCAACATTTGATGATGATGGACGTCCTCTTTTTGAAGGACCAGCTTTACCTTGTTGCAATAAACAATTTGAAATTTGCATTTTAAATTCACGCAGTTTCAAGATCTTAGTAGTGCCAGAAACACATCTACAGTATAAAATCCAAGCTTGAACAATGACCATATCAAAAAAATGAAACAACAACTTATGGTACCATTTTTTAGATCTTATCTGGATTCTATAAAGACCCATCAATGAATCTAGGAGGTCTACACCACCCATAAACTTGTTGTATGTGCGTACAACATAAGGACATTTTACTTTAATTTTTTTGTTTATCTTTTTATCAAAGCGCTCGACTTCTGTGGAGGGATTGATGCTCTCATATGAAGAAAGCAAAATTACACCACAATTATCATACCATTTTATGGCACGTAGTTCTACTCCATCAGAATCTGCAGTCCACAATTCAACTGAGCCTATACCATCCTTTTTCATATCCTTATCAGATGTCATTTTACATTTTAACAGACAATTTGAACGCGCTGTTCCTAAGCATGCAATTCCTTGAGTATGTAGTAGCTTTACAAGGGGTAAACTTGTGTACCAGTTGTCAAAATATAGTTTATGCCATCTATTTCGAGGTATATTTTGCAGAAGGATTAAAACAATATTTCCAGAAGCTTTAAGATCTGGTTGATTTGGACACGTGCCAATAGATCCTGTATATATTTCAAAATTATGAACCAAACCGTCAGTTCCAGATAGAACATACAGCTTATAACCCCACTTTTTGGGTTTTTTGGGTTATGTTGCTTTAAATTTGACTTTCCTTTGAATGGAACAATTTGTTTATCAAAGCAGAGTTGTTCATATGGTCTTAGCTGAACAAATTTATATTTTAAATAGTCAATCACTGAACGAATTTTGTATAGTTTATCGGAACAATTATCTTGGCGGCTTAAATTATCACTGCAATGCAATTCGCTTTTAATTTTTTTAAAGCGTTTTAAAGTCATAACATCTGCAACTTTGTTAAAGTATAATTCTTTACTCTAGTACATTCGAGTGCTAGGCATTTTCATTAAGCTTGTAGCAAACAATATCCCAACAGACTGTTCCAACTCTGCTCTTGTTATTTTCAAAGGGTCATTTGGATTGCTTTGAACAACATATTTTACAATTTTACAATTACATCAAGTAGTTCATTTGTGATAAATTTCCTAAAAAAATATACTGGCTCGTCATTGTCAGGATCATCTTCATACTCCAATGCTTCAAACTCCAATTCTAATTTGGTAATAGTATTTGGATTTTGCTTTTTCCAAACCAACTTATCTTTGGCCTTATTGTTTTTTTTGGTATGTTCTACGAGAGCAGCTTTTTCATTATCACTACTGCTATCTAAGATTTGTTCCTCTTCTTCAATTTCAATTAAATCAAGCATCTCGTCTTTGCTGTAACTTGAAAAGTCACTTTCCTCTGAAACATCAGAGGCTAGTAGATCTCGTATAACTTGTGTCAATTTTCTGCTATTGCTATAGAAATTTCTAACATTTATCTAAAATGAAATAAATAAATTATTTACTTGATTATTATAGCTAAACAGATGTTGTTGCTTTAAAGAAACAAACTAAATTTAAGCTGTATCTAAAGAGCAAAGTACAATGACTCAAATAAAAATAGACAATTCTAATGCCTAATCTTATAAGAACTTATGATAAAAAAATCAAAAGCATACCTTTCATATTATTCAATAAATTTTCAAAAGCGTATGAACAATATTTTTAACATCACGAAATTAAAGCAGGCTTTAAACTTTTTGCAATATCTTTTAGATTTTATGAAACCAGCGGTTGTTTTTGCGCTTTTGCCTCGTTTTAATGTTATACTTTACAAATATATTAAAAATGGCTATGTTTCTTTTAATTAACACTGTAAAAACAAGTAAAATAAACTGAGTTTCTTTAAATATACAAGGCGCAATATAGGGATACGAATATATATATATATATATATATATATATATATATATATATATATATATATATATATATATATATATATATATATATATATATATATATATATATATATATATATATATATATATATATATATATTTATTTATATATATGGTTTGGCCAGGCAGCAAGGTCAGGCCTAGGGTTAGGGTTAGAATTAGGGATAGGGTTAGTTATTTTAATGTAAATAATCTCTTTTGTAAATATATGTATATATAAAAATGTAAAATATAATACATAAAATTTAAACAAAAATAATAAAAATATTTATAAAAAATTAGTTTTTACGAAAATTATATATATATATATATATATATATATATATATATATATATATATATATATATATATATATATATATATATATATATATATATATATATATATATATATATATATATATATATATATATATATATATATATATATATATATATATATATAAATATATATAGATATGAAGAGTGCATTTTCAAAGTGCGGTATATCCATTTTTGTGGTATTGAGATAACTGACTTTTTTCGCCACACCAACATGTCTCGTATATTTGGAAAAACTATTGTTTCTTAATGTATATATACATAAAGTATATTATATAATGTTAAAAAATAAAATATTATTTAATAGAAAAATTTATTTTTTTTGTCGATAAGTTTGCATTTATTTTCAAAATACTGTATATCCAATTAAAGCTTCTTAGCAAAATGCGGTATATCCATTTTATAAAGATGTTATGGAAAGTTTTCAAACTTTAAAAGACCTGAATAAATTTTAATGATTAATTTTATTTAACATATTGAACAAATATGTGTATTTAATGTTTGGTCATTATATTTTATTGATAATGTGAATGTAAACATTGTTTTATTAAAGTAATGTAAACTATTACATTTCACAATTCGCAATTGTAAATTTATATTTGTTTTGCAGAGTTAAATATGGACAATAAACAATAATATTTTTTTAGTGTTGTGTAGTTGTAACAATGATGATCACTATTTTTAAGTCTCCATAGAACTAATGGACAATTAATATAACATAAAAGTCATCGTTATATTTTTGAACGAAATCAAATTTTAAAAAAGAAAGACTGCAATAGCCTCATTTTATTTGCAACAAAGCAATTGACGGTTTAACAAAAAAAAATAAGGAAGTATTATTATTGAATGCTTTCCATTAAAAAACAGGTAACAATATGTTTAAACTTATTAATTTAAGTTGCCTTTTTAATATATTTTCTATCATTATTCCATAATTCGTTCAGTTAAAGAAACAAAGCATCGTAGTTTAAACGAACACTAGAATTCAGAAATGCTTTTCATTTCTTTTGTTTCATACATCATATCTTTTTTTCTATGTGAAATAGGATATTAGGTAACGCATTAATCTTGTCCATCGCAATCCGCCATTTCTTTAACGCAACTTTAAAATATTTGCGCTTGCGCAGAAGTAATATACATTTGCCACGGATTAGTCAAAATTAAATACCGCATTTTGAAAACAAATAAAAAATTTTATACCGCGTTTTGAAAATAAATATTTTTTAGAAGTAAAAAAATATTGGGTTATACTTCATTTAGCATATATTCGGACACAATGTCTGCTAGGTCCTTATAAACTAAAAATAAACCACACAATTTCTCAAAAATTTTTAAAATGGCGTTTACTGCGTTTTGAAAATAAACTCTTCACATAAAGTTCAAATAAATTGTTTAGTATTGAGAGAATTCGCTTTTTCTGATGCTATAAATTATTATTATATATATATATATATATATATATATATATATATATATATATATATATATATATATATATATATATATATATATATATATATATATATATATATATATATATATATATATATATATATATATATATATATACATATATATATATATATATATATATATATATATATATATATATATATATACATATATATATATATATATATATATATATATATATATATATATATATATATATATATATATATATATATATATATTTATATATATATATACATATATATATATACTATATATATATATATATATATATATATATATATATATATATATATATATATATATATATATATATATATATATATATATATATATATATATATATATATATATATATATATATTATATGATCTTTTTTTTTTTTGTCGTAGTTCGAAATTACAATTGGAAGTTGTCAAGTCTTCAATAGTAAGATAACTTAATATAAAGTTATTGGAACAATATTATATAATGAAATCGTTTTATATATGTGAATAACTTTTTTTTCCTTATTGCCCAGATCAAAAAATGAACTTTAATCATTGTGTCTATTAGTGGGTTTTGTTACTAATATCCTCACTTAGAATATTTCAATTAATGAATTTATAAATTTGACAGGCTCAATGGTAGGAGTTTTTTGAAGTTGGTTTTTAATTGAATTTTCGATAAAAAGCTTTAAGATTCTGGATTTTAGTAATTATAATTTTTTTAATAAATAAGTCATTGAAAAATTGTGAATATATTGAATTCTGGAAAGGTTGTAGTAGAGACTGTCAAAAATAAAAAAAGAAAAATTTCTTAAAAAAGTTGGTATTAGATTTTTTGACATTAAAAGTAAAAAATTAATTATAAAAGTACTAAATTTTAACTCTGATGAAGAACTAAAAAATTGTTTCAACTTGTACCTTTTCCATATTATAATTTTTTTAGTCTATAGTGTCTACTAGCTAACTAACTACCCTAAAATACTTTACTAACTAACTACTCTTTGATAACCTACTAACTAACTAACTACCCTGAGAAGTCTAGCCGTGATCATCCGCGATCTTGAGCGCTAAATAATTTTGAAAAACTGATGTTTTTGTAAACAAATAAAAGACTTTTTCGAATAAAAACAATTTTTTTCATTCATTATCAAAAATAAAATAAAACAACTAATTTAAGGCATGAAATACTAAAGTAAACTTGTTTTTGTGTTGTTAGTAAGAGAAAAAAAGTTACTTTTTAATATAATTTCATGTGTTTATGGTTTTAAACAAACTAATTAAAAAATTAATTATAAAGTTCTTTTTTAATATCCCGCTATTCGACTTATAACTACATGAATTTCTATATGCTGTTAAAAAGCCTCTTTTCCTTTTGTAAGTTTATTATTGTGAACTAAGATAATGGAAGAAACCAATTTAATACAAATTGTGCAATGTTTTCAGGTTTCTGAAAATACTTTTGAAAATGTAAACAGTGGGTTTAAATACATTATTACTAAGATTCAAGTCAGAGATGAAAAAATAAACTTATTTAAAAATATTTTAAAACTAAATGTTACAAATTATGTTGTTCTATGGCATGCATCATTTCAAAAAAAAAAAAATGAAAATATAAATCAGCTTTGGCTTAGTTTGATTTTTAAAACAATTGATTTAGTTGAATTACCAGGCAATCAAGAGAGTTTAACAAATGAAACAGCAAAAAGAGGTTGACCAACAAAAGCTTTGATTGAACCAACAAAATGTCGACCAACAAAAGCTGATCGACCTAAAAAAGCTTGATGAATCGAGCTCTCGTACCAAAAGACAATTAATATTAAATATATCATTTGATTCAAAAACGGAAAATCAAAAAATAATGTTAGTGGCACAAAAAAGAGCATTTAATAAACGTGACTTTAATTTATTTAATTTAAGTAGTATTTTTTCAAAGAAAACGAAACAAATCGTTAATGCTTTACACTCAGCTAACTATATTATAAGTGAAAATGATGTCTGAAGAGTTTTTGCATACTTTTTAAATAACAAACTTTCAAGAATTGTTTTTGAAAATACTCAGTAAGAAGCACCATGCAGATTTCCATCTTATTGAAAAATTTCTAAAATAAAAAACGAGTGCTCACCTTTAAAAACATCCATTGACTATTCACCGATTGTTACTAAAACAAAGGCCAAAGTTAAACTACAAGATCTTATAGATCTTACATCCGAGAGGCTTTTAAAACTAAAGCAAAAGGTAACTTTAAAACATTTAAAACAACCTTCAAGATTTGGATCTATTAGTCACAGCAACATTACCTCTTTGACAATAAGTATAAGAATAACATAATGTCTCAGAGAATAAGATTATGTAGACAAAATATGCTGGAGTATATAATAGAAATTAAAGTAGTGGTAATAAAAATTAAGGAGAATATTAAAAAAAAAATCTTTTAGAGCATAAGTATGTTTTTATCAACTATAATTTTGTTCTTTCAATGATTGATGGGAAAATCTTAGTTGACCATCACAATGTTGTCCAATTTTTCACGCCACACCTAACATGATAAGCAATCTAAAAATTTTGGAGAAAGAGTTTGTTACAGATAAGCAAACATTGTGCTATGTCATTTCACCATCCCATGCTTGAATGAGGTTTTCTAAATTTATTTTACATATTTCATATAGAGACAAAACAAAAACTTATAAAGTAAAAATAGTTTTAAAAGATCAATATTTATTGGAAAAAAAAATATTTATGATACAATGTTTAAAGATTTTGGTTTGAGAATTGATGAACCAAGAGTTGGCGAGTCAGGAACTAGTAATACTGGATATTTATGCCGGTGAGCTTTTTCTGACACTATTACTCAGCAAATTTTTAGAAATTGATAAAGAAATTACTATCAGATTATAGCTCAATTTATATTCTACTTGCAAAGACCGGATAATATTGATAAATACTGAAATAATTCATATAAAAAGTTGTTAGAGACATATGATTGGTTAAAGATCAAAGCTTCCGTTGAAAAGGTAATAGGACATGTTGGAGGGATTATTATTATTTCACCAGTTTCACTGATTTAATAAGAAAAGAAGTAAAGGAATCTTGACACAGAATTTATAAGTTTGATCGTGAACATTATGCAAGGAAAAAAAGTAGAAAAAAATATTTATTAGACATATATATATATATATATATATATATATATATATATATATATATATATATATACATATATATATATATTATATATATATATATATATATATATATATATATATATATATATATATATATATATATATATATATATATATATATATATATATATATATATGTATACATATATATATATATATATGTATACACTTACAAAACGCTTGCTTCAACAAATCACCTTTTAACATTGAAATAAAAGCAAATGAATAGAATTTTTGAATCAAAATATCAATAAAATATGCTGTTGCTCTTAATCTTATAAAACAAACACAAAAAGCTTAATTTGGCAATTATAATTTATTCCCATTATGACCAAATTTTAATCTTATCAACAATTTCATTTTAAAATATGGGTTTGATATTACCTTTCCTAGCAGCATAGCCTATTATTTTTGATATATTGCCTTACTGCATTTAAGCAAATCAATATTTTGTTTTTAAAGATTTTTTATTGCTAAAGTTTTTATAAAATAGCACATTAAAATAGTATACAAAACGGAAACAATATACAGCAAATAGTATACAACATTAAATAATATACATCATGGAAAAAAATTATGTAAAATCTTTGTTCTATTATCTAAAGTGATTTTTAAATGAACGGTCTGTCCGCTTTTTCCGTGCTCTAATTATAACGTAACTACTTCTCACTCTTACTTTAAATAACTTCTGTTCTAATCCAACTCACTTACTTTTGGTTTGTAGAAAAGAATTATGAAATATTTCAGTAAACTGAACTTAGCAACCTTCGTAAATAGCCACCCTACGTCAATAAATACAACATCAAAATTGCTTTTATTTTTTTTATTCTTTAAATTTATTTGTAATATTATTATCGTGTTTTGTTTTTATGCATTTGGTTTTTTTTTATATCTATATATCGGTACAATGTTCATGTAAACATTTTAATTTACAAAAAACGTATTTAGTTACCTTTAAAAGCATCACCCCGACGGGCATTTTTTTTTAAAAGTTACTATCTAAATGTATTTTAGATGTCTTTTAAACGTCTTTTAAATATTATAGTTTAAAAGACGTTTAAAAGACATTTAAAACACATTTAGAACGTAACTTTTAAAAACAAATGCCCGTAGGGACAAGTGTCAATGTTACGTCTCCTTGCGCTTAAGTCTTACGTCTTGCGACATCAATATGTTATGTCTTCTTACCTAAAAATGACACGAGAACGTTACGCAATGTTGTTTGATTACATTTTACCTGACGTAAAAATATTGCAGGATTAGACTTCTTAAAAGATATTTATTTATCGTATTTTTTCTTTAAAATATTACAATTTTCAAGGGTTTTTTTTTTTAAATCTCTGCATTTTTAAGTAGATTACAACATTTCCGGATTTGCTTTAGAATACAACTCAAAAGTATTCAAAGTGGTTTTAGCAAACTGTTGTAAGCAACTTTTCACAACTTATATAATATATAAAAATCTTTATAAAAGTGTTATTCATTATTTTAATAATGTTCACAGTTCTTAAGACCTTGTCTTTCTCTGTTTGGTTAAACAGAGAAAGACAAGGTCTTGTTGCATTTTATATCCAATAAATCATTTTTTCATGGTTTAACTATTTTCTTTTTGTGTGCATTTTATTTTATAGATAGTTAAAAGTTAATTAAATTTATTTTTATTTACAAATCATACAAAAATTAAATAAAGCTTATTAATTTGCTGACCTGATTTCAAAATGAAACATACAATATCACAAAATCTAAACAATAGCAATCAAATGAAGAGAAAACAATATAGTGTTAAAAATGAAAAAATCTTTACTCCATATTCGATAAATTATAGTAATAGTTATAATTTATTTCAAATGCAGTAATGATTTTAATTTAAAGCTATTGAAAATTAGTTCGACCCAACCAAAAACAGAGCAGAAAAAAGCAGTTTCAGAGAAACCTGTTCAGGGACCAACTCGTCGCCTGTTTTAGCCTTTTGCGTAAAGCTCAGTGAAAATCATATAAACATGGCATAGTTTGTTGAGAGATTAAAGTTGCATGAATGCTAACACTCATTGGCTTCTGATATGACGTTAATCAACATTTTGCTAGGAATTGCGAGATGATGTGTTAACATGGTTCTTCACATAGTGCAGGTAAATTTTAATAAATGGGTTTCTTTTCACACAATAGTATTTTTTAATTCATTAAATAATATATTTAACTTAATTTTTATATAAAAAATTATAGGCTTATGAAGAAAATTATGCCTGTGCTTGGTGCAAAAGTTTTTCTAAACTATTTTCTGTAGAGCTAAGAACATTTCAGTCTTTAAATGTTTACAATAAAAAGTATCCATCTGTACGATATTGGTTAAAAGGAATGAAAAAATATAAAAAATCTTTACTTCAATAAAAAAGCACAAAACGCATTATAATAAAATCAAATTTTATCATTTATACCAAACTTAATAATTGTTATAAATAATTAAAAAATTATCATTTCCACATATTTATTCTCTAACTATAATAAGAAAGGTTCCGTTACCAGAACTTTACTTTCCTATTACCCACTCTTGAAAACAATTCTGACACCGAAACTCATTTCCCTTCCGTATCAGATGTCGATACCGAAGTCACATCTACTTGTCTAAAAAGCCGTTGTTTAAAAAAATTGCTCTACAGGCAGATATTTTGGCATATCAGCAACTCTGGTTGATTTTGGTATAGAACATATGGGGCCAGTGGATTGGAATAAAATTCGCAGAGAACGAAAACTACTAAGAACATCCTGTAAAAATGCTGATTGTAGAATTACTGGATTATATTTTGATGGAAGGAAAGATCAGACTTTAAAACTTGAGGGGATAGGCAGACTGTGATTTCTGAGGAACATATTTCCATTTTATCGGAGCCAAATTCAAAGTATGTTGATCATTGTACGCCAACAAGTGGATCAGCCAAATCCATTGCAGATTCAATAATTAATACTGTTGACTGCACAAACCTTGTTTGTATTGGCTCTAATTCAACTAACGTTAATACTAGTTTAAACAATGGAGTTATACGCAGAATGGAAATTAAACTTGGTCGACCACTGCACTGGTCCGTTTGTTTTTTACATCTGAACGAGCTTCTTTTACAACATCTTTTTCACTCCTTAGATGGTGCAACAACTGGACCCCATTAATTTAATGGACCAATTGGCAAGTCTATTTCAATGTCTGTTCAGAAACCCATAGTCAGCTTTGCCATATTTGTTGGTGAACCTATTATATGCGATAAGCAGTTGTTAAGCAGTGATCAACTGTACTTTTTCAAAATTGTTAATGCGGTGAAGACAGGTGTTGTACCAGATAGATTTAATTCTAGAACACCTGGGCGACTAAACCATGCAAGGTGGTTGACACTAGCAAACCGTGTTCTACGCCTCTATATATCTACTGAAGATCCATCAAATGAACTAATACTTTTGGCTAAACTTATTGTGAATTCATATGCGGTTGTTTGGTTTGACATTAAGAAACATTCAAACTGCTGAAATGCTGCTCCACACTATTATAAAATGATAGAAATATCACGATTTCTTCCTGTGCGTTATCGAAAAATTGTTCAGCAAGTTTTAAAGCGCAATAGCTACCCGGCTCATATCGAGAGCATTATTCTGGCTATGCTCAAAGACAACCGTCAAGTGATCCGTAAGCTTGCGTTGAAGAGAATTCTTCATGCTCGTGAAGATGACATAACAAATCGAAAATTTTAACTCCCTGAGATACGATTTCAAGCGACTAGTTATGAAGAACTGATTGACTGGCAAACACAGCCCCGCTTGGAACCTGTTCTGACAAAACATATTCCAACTGTACAAATATTAGCATGGCTTACGTCAGTTGAAGACATAATTATTGACATTGAGCCATTTCCATGTCACAATCAAAGTGTTGAACGTGTGATTAAAATTGTGACTGAATCAGCATCCAAAGTTTAGTGTCATGAAAATCATGATGGCTATATTCGCGTTCAACTAGAGCGCCGCAAGTTGATGCCTCACTTTAACACAAAATCTGAATTTAAGAACATTTCAGTATAGTTTCTAATCAACCTTAGCTTATGATATATTGTTTTGACTGTTCAAATAAATTAAATTTTATTATACATTCAATCAATAAATAATGTAACAAATGAACGTTTTTAAGTAAATTTATTTAAAAACTTTAAAAATGCAGAGTATAGCAAAGAAGTAGCAAAAAACGGTTTGCAGCATTGCATTCAGCGTATTTAAGAGCCAATTACTGAAAATTCCCGAAGAAATTTTCCAAACTTTTTTAAGTTATGATCCAGCCTAATATATATATATATATATATATATATATATATATATATATATATATATATATATATATATATATATATATATATATATATATATATATATATATATATATATATATATATATATATATATATATATAAATATATATATACATATATATATATATATATATATATATATATATATATATATATATATATATATATATATATATATATATATATATATATATATATATTTATATATATATATATATATATATATATATATATATATGTATATATATATATATGTATATATATATATATATGTATATATATATATATATATATATATATATATATATATATATATATATATATATATATATATTTATATTTATATATATATATATATATATATATATATATGTATATATATATATATATATATATATATATATATATATATATATATATATATATATATATATATATATATATATATATATATATATATATATATATATATATATATATATATACACACACATACTGTTAAAAGAAAAATTATTTACAGAAAAACAGTATGTACAACTTACCAACTTGCCTTTGCAGAAGAACTTAAAAAAAAAAAACTTGACAATTTTATATAATTCCTTAAATATATCTTGAATGATATATTTTAGATTGTTCATCATAAGATATACATTGGTAAATATATAAATTTATATATTGATAAGTGCAATATTTTATTTATTGTTAAATATAATTACTTTACATGGTTATTGTGTATAGTGGTATAGTTAAAAGGTCAAATGTACCTGGTAGTATCGCACTTTACTTGTTTCTCAGCACAGCGGCCTTGTTTTACAATGTTTGTGTTTTAAAATTTTGATTTTAAGTTGAGAAAGGGATGCAACCACAATCAAAGTAGCATCCTTAACTTTAACAGCCTACCAAGCTTTGGGGAGATAAAATTATATGATATATTTTTGCTTACCAATCTGTTGGCTTAGAGCTGAAATATATAAAAAAACCTTTTTATTTAATTTGTTATTTAATAAAAGTAAAAAGTGAAACCTGAAAAAAATTTACTTGATACTTCATTGATATCTAAAAATACTGACATGCTAATATAAAGATATGAAAATGTTTGACCCAAGCAAAAAATAAAAAAAAAACAATAATAATTAGTTACCTGAAGAGACTAATGATGCCGATGAAACAGCTAAATAAAAAACATAATAAAAAAAGGCAATTTAATTCTGATTATAATGTTCAAAAAAGCAATATTTATTATTTGTCTTTTTTTAAGTAACAAATTAAAATAAATTGTTTTTCAAGTAACAAATCAAAAAAAAAAAAAGTATCAAGTTACCAGAAGTGGCGGATGAAGCAGTTAAAACAACTAAATAAAAAATATATAAATATCTAAAAATATATCATGTAAAATCCTGGAGATAATGTTCCGATAAAGAATGTTTATTGCTAGTTTTTCAAGGAAAAAATCAAAATAAATGTATTGTTACTTGGGACGGTCAATGCTGCAGATGCCACAACTAAATGAAATGAATAAATCAATAAAGATAATTTATTTAATCATGATGGTAATAAACATTTTTTATTGTTAAAAATTAAAAGTATAAATTAAACTGGGAAGGTTGATGCTACAGAAGAAATAACTAAATAAAAAAAAAATTAAATAAAAAAAGCTATTTGTTTAAATTACAGTTTCATAACTGATATAATTGTGCTTCAGTTATTATTAAATTTATATATATATATATATATATATATATATATATATATATATATATATATATATATATATATATATATATATATGTATATATATATATATATATATATATATATATATATATATATATATATATATATATATATATATATATATATATCAAATAACTAAAAAAATAGCTACATTGATATCTATAATTTGAAATTGAATTTTATATTCTTTTGTATTTTCAGCACAATATTTTTTTTGCAGTTATATCCACATTTTTTTATTAGAAAATTTGATTTATTTCTATTTATTTGATTTCCAGCAAAGAAAATATTTTTTTATTGTTATAATTCTTTACTAGTCACAATATGCGAAGGATCTTCAAAAGTAATAACCTGTCCAAAAAACTCCATAATAAAAATCGAAAGTGCTATGTATGGTTGTCTGAGCGTTCATAAATGTTTAAACAATAGTGAATCAAATTTGGTTTTTTTAAAGTCATCAAACATTGCTTATATAATTCAAGAGTTGTGTGATGGAAATATCAGTTGCTTTATTCAATCCAATAATAACAGTTCTGGTGGTGATCCTTGTCCGGGCATATTAAAACATATGTTCATTAAGTATATGTGTTCTCTAGAGGCTGAATGTGGTAAAGTAAATTATATATTTAGCTACATTACTTAGTGACAATCAAACAGCTACATAACTTAGCTACATAATTTAGTGACACTCAGACAATAAAATTTAGGGTTTAAAAGTTTTAACATTTTGCATAATTGTAATATAACATTTTATAATTATTAAAAGCAGATGCAGCCTTTTTTGATAATTCAAATAGCCAACTTGCAGACATGAAGTCAACCCCAAAAAAAGTTTATTCTTGTGTCAAATAAAGATACTTTGCAAAAACTGCAATGATTGGAGCCTGGTACCAAAAAAAACCAAACATATTTTTGTAAGACCTATCGCGACGGAAAGCGTAAGAAGTTGATAAAATACAATTTTAATGAATTCAACTGAATTTATATTCATCTAATATTTAAAACTTTGTGCAATAATATAATAATGTTAAGAAGTTGTGATCATATAAAGTGTGAACTCAGTTTAAGAAAGACACATATTTTTAACGGTTCTAATTTTGTGGGTTTGCCTATTAATATTTAAAACTTATCAATAAATATAATTTAGTTGAGATAAGTAAAAAATTATTTGTTATCAACTTCAACTTTTTGTTTTTATTTTTGGGGTATGTGTTGCTGAAATTTAAACTTTTTTTTATAAACTTTTATCATTGCAATTTTTTATTATGCATTTTTATTTAAAATAAGTATAAAAATATAAATGTTTAGAGCTCTAAGTCTTAAAGTTACCTTAATTTCAAACTCTAAACACATGCCTCTGACTGTAATAATTTGAATTTTATTATATATATATAGATTTGATCCCCATTCTATTGGTCATAAATAGTTACAAAAATCTTTTTATTTATTTTTTAATGACTAGAAGTGATAGATGTAAATTCTGAGTTTTACGGTATTGTATACATGTGTATTTACATAAAAACAGCGCTATCTAGTATTTCAATAGGTTATAATATAATGTAATAATTGGTATTAAAGTTTTTCCCATAGGACATTATTAAAGAATAAAGTCATTCCTTATGATCATTGTTAGCGATTGATATAATTCTCTCTGAACAGTCTTATTAGTTGGTATAATTCCTCATGGATTGGTTCACAAATAACTGTATTAAGCAATTTTTTTTGAAGGAAAAAAATTCTAAATAGAATTATTTGTGGACGAAGCAATTCTAATTTGTGCATGAAGAAACTCTTGTGTAAACGGTTACAAAAGCCTTGACGGTAAACTTAAATAAAATATGATACGAGAGGGAATAACGACTTCATAGGTTTTTAATACAAGTGTAAAATTTAATATAAGCTTAGTTATAAAACAGATTATTTTGAAATTCATATATTAATGGGTAGAACAGCTAAAAAAAAGAAGATGATAGGACAGAATAAGAAAAAAAAGAAAAATACAGAAAGGTTAAGATATATTTACCTATTGAAGTACCCAATGAGGGATTTACCTCAGAGACAGTTTCCATCTAAAAGTGATATTCTAAGATACTATCAATTTATCCTTTGCCAGTCACGAATAAAATATAAACCCACTACCACTAAAATTGGTTTCAAATTGAAATCGAAATCCAAAGATCTTGTTTGTGAAAATGGTATTTGTGCAGATCCTAATAACTCATGCTTGGTAACTATTATTAAAAAAATTTGGGATAATGCTGGGTTTGGCAAGAAATTTGTGATTTCTGGGTACAATATAAAAACCAAAATCATTAAACTAAAAGACAAAAAATTGAGTAAATTGTCTTCTCTCTACTGGAACAGCAGCCTTGATAAGCAATTAAAATACGGCTTTTCTTCATTATGATACCAAACTCTTGGAACAAATTACCACTCCATGAATGACTCCATGACAGAAGAGAATCAATTCAGCAGTGAAGAAAAAAAGCCTTCAAGATTTAAGCTTAACATTATTCAAAAAATTGAGTAACTTACAGTCTCAGTGAGTTACCCGGATACGGATACCATGGAAGACCATCTTTTAGGTATTGTTCAATGTCCCTCTTCAAAGGGAGCTGGTAAAGCAGAACTAGCGCACAATCTTTTAGAATATTACGGATGTAAATAGCAGATCATTGGTATATGCTGTGATACAACTGCAAACAATACAGGAGCAGTTAATGAGCAGTCCTTATTCTCACAGAAATTTTGAAAATACCAATTTTGTGGATAATGTGTAGGAGACATTATGGCTCCTACACATTACCTACTCACTATATGGCTGCTCTTACTGGAAAGAAAACTAATGGTCCAAGAAGAGCTTTTAATGTCAAGCTAAAGAAAAAGTGGACTAAAATCTATGAGAAAGTTAATGAAGTGAAAAATTTATGTAAACTGGAATGGCAAAGAAATGATCTGAAGAATGGCTCTGTTCTTCACACTGTTGCAGAGGAAGCCAAGAAATATTTGACTAATGCAACTAATGACATAGTGTTTTCAAGGAATTATTATGATATAGTTTGTAAGCTTGCTTTCTTCTTCCTTGGAGCGGAACTACAAGTTTTTAAGTTCTATCAACCTGGCACCTGCCATGAAGCAAGGTTTTTAGCAGATGCGATCTACATCCTGACTTTTTATATGACCAAAGATTTAAGTAATATCTTGACAGAAAAAAAAGTACTGCACTTGAAGGATGCAATTTGCTATGTTCTATGGTTTTTGAAACCTTTTTTTAGGATTTCTGGCTCCTTACAATAATATGAAAGCTACCCAGATAGCCTATGCATTGAGAAAGGTCAATAAGAATAATGGAAATGCTTTGCTTCTCAGCATGGGATGCCATACGTGGTACTTGGCTTCGCAAATCTGTGTTTTGTCCTTTAGGGATAAAGAAGTTTCTTTTGAAACAAAGCTAAGAATGCTGTTAGTTCTGACTGAAATTGAAGATCCAAATGAATTTCAGCGTTATAAACCATCAAATATACATATTAGAGAGACCACAGAGCTACCTGAGTTGATATATACATATATATATATATATATATATATATATATATATATATATATATATATATATATATATATATATATATATATATATATATA